CCTTGGCCTCCCAGAGTATTAGAATTACAGGTGTGAGTAACTATGACAAGCCAGTCCCCCCCTTTTTCATGGGAGATGTGTTTCAATAACCCCAGTGGATTTCTAAAACCTTGGATAGTACTGAACCATACATATATACACTATGTTTCTCCTATACATGTATACCTATGATAAAGTTTAATTTCTAAATTAGGCCACAGTAAGAGATTATAATAATAAAATAGAACAGTTATAACAATAAACTATAATAAAAGTTATGTGAATGTGCTGTCTCTCTCTACTTGTATCAAAATATTTTAATATTTTGGATCCCAGCTGTAATATTGAAACCGGGAATAGTGGGGGGAATTACAGTACATTAGCGCGCTTGTGTGTTGCTTCCCAGCACTGTCCACTAGAGGGCCTAGGAACAGTAGGGCCTACCAGCAAGGGACATACCCAGTACCTGGGGTTTATAAGTATCATTCTCCCATGAAAGAAACTACGGCTCCCTGGAGAAATGGGTGATTCCAGGGCTGGGGTAGGAAAGCACAAGACGAGTCTGGAGCATCTTCTGGTGCCATAAAGTAAGGAAATGCTTGAAAAATGGCAGGGACATGGTACAGAAGCTAACTAGAGGGAGCTCCTAAGGGCCAATTTTGGTACCATATAAACAACATAATAAGTAATGATGGTATTGGATTCTAACCCATAAATGTCCACGAGTCCATACTGATATAAATAACTAATTGGATAAGTAGGAGAGAATAAATAACTTAATAGAATTCCAATTAATAAATACAGAAGGAATGATGGAAAAAGAAAATCATTATTTGGTTAACACCACAGTAATAATTGTTTTTATGCAAGAATCATCAATGGATTCTAGAATTTAATGGGTATGATGAGAAGAAACAGGCTATTTTCATAGTCCCGAAGTATCTCCCCATAAGGTACATTAATTACAATGAGACAAATAGTGACTTTAGAGTAGAGAAACCTAACAGGTACCACCTTCACCAAATGCTTGGAGTTAGCATCGTCAGTAAGGAGGAGAGGTATCAGTATCCTAGGCCTCTTGATGTGATGTAATGAGGACACACACTCTGTGGTTTTGTCCCCCAAATATATAACCTGAACTTAATTATGAGGAGACATCAGACAAACCCAAATGGAAGGGCATTCTACAAAACAGCTGACCAGAACTCTTCAAAAGTCTCAAGGTCAGGAAAGACAAGGAAAGACTGAGAAACTAACCTAGACTGCAGGAGACCCAGAAGATGTGTCAGATGTGTTCAGTGTGAGATCATGGAATAGGTGCTGGACCAGAAAAAAGACATTAGTGGATGATTAGCAAAATTTGAACATTTGTAGATTAGTTAATATTATTCTATCAATGCTAATTTTCTGGTTGTAATAATCATGGTTTTGTAAGATGTCATTTATTTATTTATTTTTAAAGTCAGGTGTTCACTCTGTTGCCCAGGCATTAAGTGCTGTGGCATGATCACAGCTCACTGCAGCCTCCAACCACCAGGAGTAAGCAATCCTCCTGGCCTGGCCTCTTGAGTAGGTGTGCCACAACACCTGTCTAATTGAAATTTTTTTGAGAGACAGAGTCTTGCTGTGTTGCTCAGGCTGGCTTCAAACTGCTGGCCTCAAAGAATCCTCCTAGCTTTACCTCCCTAAGTGCTAGGATTATGGATGTGAGCCATTGTGTCTGTCCTGTAGGTGGTTATTTAAAAAAAAACTGGATGGGGCAGTGCCTGTGGCTCAGTGGGTAGGGTGCCGGCCCCGTATACTGAGGGTGGCGGGTTCAAACCCGGCCCCAGGCAAATTGCAACAAAAAAATAGCTGGGTGTTGTGGTGGGTGCCTGTAGTCCCAGCTATTCAGGAGGCTAAGGCAAGAGAATTGCCTAAGCCCAGGAGTTGGAGGTTGCTGTGAGATGTGTGATGCCACGGCACTCTACTGAGGGCAATAAAGTGAGTCTCTGTCTCTACAAAAAAAAAAAAAAGAAAGAAAGAAAAGAAAAAAAACTAGATGAAGGATACATTGAAACTCTGACTATTTTTATAATATTTTTGAAAGCCTGAAAAATAAAGGGTTAAAAAATAAAAACAAATGCATTAGATTTCTGTGAGGACAAAATAAGAGAACATATGTGAACAATACCTGAGACATAGGAGTTCTTAGCTCATCAGCTATTGTTGTAAGTAATTTTATAATTAATAGATAATAATTATTTTGAGATACAGTCTCATTTTGTCACCCTCGGTAGAGTGCCATGGTGTCACAGCTCACAGCAACCTCAAACTCTTGGGCTTAAGCAATTCTCTTGCCTCAGCCTCCTGTGTAGCTGGGACTATAGGTGCCCACCACAATGCCTAGCTAGAGATAATTATTATTATAAGTAATTTATTTCCTAATATCCTCACATTCTCACCTACTTCCTTTTTCTCCTATCCCCTGTACAAAGCATATTGAACATGTATGTGGTTATTTTAAGGGATAAAATAGGCTGGGTGCAGTGGCTCACGCCTGTAATCCCAGCACTTGGGAGGCCGAGGCGGCTGAATTGCCTGAGCTCACAGGTTCAAGACCAGTCTGAGCAAGAGTGAGACTTTGTTTCTAAAAACTATCTGATGTAGGTGCCTGTAATCCCAGCTACTCTGGGAAGAGAATCACTTGAGCCCAAGAGTTTGAGTTTGCTGTGAGCTGTGATGCCAGGGCATTCTACAGAGGATGACAAAGTGAGACTCTGTCTCAAAAAAAAAAAAAAAAAAAAAAAAGGAGATAAAATAGGATTAGGTTTAGTTTGAGAATTATTTCAGGGGCCAGGGGTGTCATTTCCTCTATCTACTAATTAGCTCAGACTTAGGCCCACATTGTAAAACTTTGCCTGGCCTGGGAAAAACGGCTTGAGCCCAGCCACCACCCAAATGATGTGGTTTGTGACTGCACCATCTGGTTGCACAGTTTGTTGCCCTGTGCTTTAGGAGCTACTTTAGAAATTCCATTCAATACATTTACTGAATTCTTCCTAGGACATGTTATAAATTATTTGATCTTCACAACAAGTCTGTATGAGAAGTGGTATGTTATTCATTTAAGATGATACAACTTAGGCTCATAAAATGAAGTAACAGGTGGGCTCAGTGGCTCATGCCTGTAATCCTAGCTCTCTGGGAGACTGAGGCAGAAGGACCCCTTGAGCTCAGGAGTTGGAGACCAGCCTGAGCACGACTGAGGCCCCATTTCTACTAAAATAGAAACATTGGCTGGGCATTGTGGCAGGAGCCTGTGGTCCCAGCTATTTGGGAGGCTGAGGCAGGAGGATCTCTTGAGCCCAGGAGTTTGAGATTGCTGTGAGCAACGATGGCACCCCGGCACTCTAGCCTAGGCAACAGAGTGAGACTCTTATCTAAAGAAAGAAAATGAAGTGACTTGTCCAGGGTTGCAAGGTAAGTGGCAGAGCCAGGGCCTGGATCTAGGACCCCTGACTTTGAAGCTAAGTCTAAATATATAGGTGAATGTAAACACGTGCAGCCAGGTTAGAGAACTACTGGCATTGGGCATTGGTTCTCAGCTGGGGGTGGCTACCCACCAGGGAGCATTTGGCAATGTCTGGAGATATTTCTAGCTTTCCTAACAGGGTGGGGTGGGGGAGGGGAAAGCTGCCATTGGCATCTAGTTGATAGAGGCCACATGGGGTAGTGCTAAACATCTTACGGTGCACAGAACAGCTCCCACAGTGAGGAATTGTTCAGCCTCAAATGTCAGTGGATCTGCTATGGAGCTGTGGTGTATAGTCTCAAAAGGATGACATTTTGAACTTGCAAACCTGAGAACATTTCCTTTCACTTGTTAATATTTGCTGAGTACTGTGCTAGACAGCATGAGGGTGATAGAACAATATACCAGTTTGTGCTGCCAAGGAGGTTGCCATCTAGAAAGCAGGGCTAGAGGTAGGAGAGGCCCAGGAACGGTTGGTTGTCGTGGCAGGTGATAAGTGCAAGAAGAGAGAGTACAGTGGGACTAAGCATGCCTTGGTGGGGGTGCACAGCTGGTTGTGGGAGGGGTTGAGAGGAGCTGAGGGAGGATGTGGTTTCTGAGCTGGTGGGAAAACACAAGACCTGTTCCAGGAAGAGCAAATGGTCAAGTTGAGGGCGTGAAGTATTTGTTAGTAAGCAGAGAGGAAGTGCCGGAAAGGTGGGCAGGGGTAGGAGGTTTGCAAGCAGGCTCAGGTCTCCAGCCTCAGGACCTGTCCTAGGATGGAAAAGGCTTCCCTTCCAGAATGGTGTGCGGGGAAGTGTTGGTGGCATGTCCGGTGCCCTGTAAAGAACATAAGCAAGGACTTCCTTGTCTTCTGTGAACGTACAGTTGCCTTCAACTCCTTTCCACCACCATCACCACATTTGGTCCTGGGGAGATACACCCCCTCTTCTGGAAAAGGGGTGGGGGAGAAGGTGAGGGAGCAAACCTGTGTTGAGCTGGTATTTATGTACATATGCATGTTTTGCCAGCTCCAGATCCAGACCCTCATGGCGTCTCATTTAACTCTCATTTAATAGTTTCTTCCTTGGCTCGGCGCCTGTGGCTCAACCGGCTAGGGCGCCAGCCACGTACACCTAAGGTGGCGGGTTCGAATCCCCAGCCCGGACCCGCCAAACAACAATGACGGCTGCAGCCAAGGAATGGCCGGGCGTTGTGGCGGGCGCCTGTGGTCCCAGCTACTTGGGAGGCAGAGGCGGGAGACTCGCTTGAGCCCAGGAGTTGGAGGTTGCTGTGAGCTGTAATGCCACGGTACTCTACCCAGGGGGACAGCTTGAGGCTCTGTCTCAAAAAAAAAAAAAAAAAAAAAAAAAAAAATAGTTTCTTCCTTTTGGTAAATGGCACTGAGAACCGCTCACTCTTCCCAAATCCCTGTAGTTACAAGGGGCTACGTTTTAGTGCAGGTGTGGCCTTTTTTACTACATTTTCTCCTCCCTTTTCCCCTTCATAGACAATTAATCCCATTTACCTGGATTTGTGCTGCTAGAGACCATGGCCGTCAGCATTAGTAGCAGGAACACAAGGAGGGAAGAGACTGGAACTTTCATGGCAAATGTTGGTGCTGCTGGGAGCGGCTTGAAGAGTGGTCGAAGGTCCTAGTTAGTGGCTTCTGATCTCTGGGGATGGCTGGGGCTAGGTACTGAGGCTGGCAGTCTGCACGTTAGTCCCAGGCCAGTATTTACATAAAAGGGCAAGAACAGGTGAGGTGACGCTGGCCTTGCTGTTAGGTAACAGATCAGACCATGTGTGTTACTAGAATCTGGGAGGTAAAACTGGTCAAACAAAAGAAATGCAGCACCCTTAAGAACATAAGAAGTTGACTGATAACTTGGCAGCAGTGCTCGTTCCCTCCCATACTCCTTCTCGCCTCCCCACCCCTGCTGCGTTATGATTTCTTCCTCAAGTCTTTTTTTTCTCGGTTGGATTTCCTTGTACTTTCCAGTGATTCTCTCTAGCTGAATATTTGTCAGGAAAGTGGGTGCTAAGTGTTGGCAGACAGGAGCATGACATGGTCTGTTTCCCCTCTGTCCTCCTGCTCCCATCCTTGGCAAAATATTGGCAACAGTAGTGTTGTTGCCTGGGAAATTTCCCATGTCCCAGCTCTGTTCATAGTTCTCTCTAAATCTGTAGCCAGTAAGGTGGCAGCAGAGCAGCATCCAAGAGAAGAGGCAGTTCTCTCTTGCCCAAAATGCTGCCTCTGGAGCACGGGGTTAAGTCAGGCTTCCTCTTTCATCTGTTGGGGAGGTGGCTGTGGCTTGTTTGATCCAGTCTAAAGGCGAGAGAGCTGGGTGTGGAAGACACCCCTAGATTTAGTAAAGGCCCAAAAGGATTTGAGAAATAGGAGCCACAGGAAGGAAGGAGCTCTAAGGTGTGTTTGCCCAGCTGCTGGGGCTCCTGGCTCCAGACCTTGTTTGGAAATGCCCCCAAGCAAAAGAAGAAAGGTAAAAATACTTACAGCAAACACCAAGGGTTATGGGAACACTTAAGTAGACTTTAGGAAAGCTGCTTAGAGAAAGAGGAGAGGCTTGAATGCTGGGTGGTATTTGTGGGGGGGCTCAAGGGAAGGTTAACAGGAGGCCCTTCCTGGAAGCCCCCCGGCCAGGAGTGAGAATAGGTGGTCTGATTTTGTTTCAGCTGAGAGGAGGGAAAAGGCAAGGCATGAGTGAACTCCCTCTTGAGCAAGCGTCCTCAAACTACGGCCCAGGGGCCACATGCGGCCCGCCTAGGACATTTATCTGGCCCGCCGCTGCCTGTCCTGCTTAGCAGCTGACTTGTCCAGGGGCCCGCAGTCTGGCCCTCCAATGGTCTGAGGGACAGTGAACTGGCCCCCTGTTTAAAAAGTTT